CCTCCCAAGTCCCTGGGACTACAGGCGCCCGCCACAACACCTGGCCATTTTTTGGTTGCAGCCATCATTGTTGTTTGGCGGGCCGGGCTGGGGATTCGAACCTGCCACCTTAGGTGTATGTGGCTGGCGCCTTAGCCGCTTGAGCCACAGGCGCCGAGCCCCACCAGGGGTTCTTGAAGCGACCTGTCAGCAACTCCTGGGAGGCTTTAGTTAGGAGTCTGTGTCCAATTTCACCTGTGATTTAAAACAGCTGCTATTGCAGGTGTGAGCCTACTTGTGCCCTGGACACTCTTGTTAGGGGCTTCATCCCACATCACATTAAACATTAAAAAGTACCCACTTTCTGCATTAAATGCAATTATTTATGTAAAGCATATCTGAATAGATTTGGGTCATATGAGTTTTGAAATTATTTCTTTAAACTTTTCACTTTGCATCCTTTGGTTGCCAGCTTTATGTAAGGGCAGACATAAGCTGAGAAAAACCGAGACTTGTCCTCAAGATGCTCTCACTGGCAGGCATGTGAGGCAGGGATCCAGGACTACAAGATGAGGAAGGGTTTCTAGAACAGAGGTGCAGTTGTAGAAGATTTGGGAGAGGGAAGGTCTTCCCTGCTGTGGGAAATCAGGAAAGGCTGCTTGGGAGAGAGACCAGAGAGAGCCTCTGTGGCTCCCTATTGGTGGAAGGAAGTGGTACATTTGTCTTTAGCCTTGAAAGCCATGTAGAATGAAGATTTGAAGGTGGGGGTATTTTAAGAGATGGGATTGGCATAATGAAAGGCATGGAAGTGGAAGAGTGGGTCCAGCCAGTTGGGCAGAGTGAAGGGTTAATGTAGGAGTAGTGAGAGATGAGGCCTGGGAATGCCTTTTAAAGTTTGAATCTTATTTCCTGGCAATAGGGAGCCACAGAGGGTCTTGTAGCAGGGGAGCATTGTGATTATGAGAGCCTTAGGCACAATAGGCTGGCAGTTGGTACAGGGTGGGGGAAAGGTGAGCTAGGAAGCAGGGAGACCAGGTAGGAGGCTGCAGGGTCCAGTGGGGTGGTGGCAGTTGGTTCTGAGGATACCCTGCCTCTGAGCTGAGTGGGGATTCTGTGCCCTGGGAGATTTCCCCTGACCTGGAACGGGCTTCACACAGAGGGAGGCTTGTTGGGATCCTTCTTTGGAAATACCTCTGAGAAACTGCTCCAGCTGCCCACCACTACCGTTACTCTCCGTCCCCACTCCTAGCTTTAGAGAGCAGGACCCTCCCAGGGACAAAAGCTCCATCTGGACCCAGCTGTTGTGGTGGGGGCTCCCTGGGCTCTGGGAAGGCCAGCGAGATTTCTGTGGGCCAGATGCCCCCTTCTTTCCCAACAGACAACAGGACGTACCACTTCCAGGCAGAGGATGAACATGAGTGTGAGGCGTGAGTGCCCCCGCCAGCCCGGGGGGTGGGAGCAGGGGAGCCAGTATCTGTTTCCCACTGCTCATCCCCCCACCCCACACCTCTCCGCAGGTGGGTGTCAGTGCTGCAGAACAGCAAGGATGAAGCCTTAAGCAGCGCATTCCTTGGAGAACCCAGTGGCGGCCCGGGGTCCTGGGGGAGCACCGGGCAGGACAGCGAGCCCCACGACCTCACGAAGCTGCTCATCGCTGAGGTGAAGAGCAGGCCCGGGAACAGCCAGTGCTGCGACTGCGGGGCTGCAGGTGGGCCGGGGCGGGCCAGGACAGGAGGGAGGAGGGAATAGAGGTCAGGAGCCCTGCACCTCCAGCCTTGAGCTGCCTTTCTCCGCAGACCCCACGTGGCTCAGCACCAACTTGGGCGTGCTCACCTGCATCCAGTGCTCAGGCGTCCACCGCGAGCTGGGCGTGCGCTTTTCGCGCATGCAGTCCCTCACCTTGGACCTGCTGGGCCCCTCGGAGTTGTTGGTAAGGACGGAGGCGGGGCCTAGACCGGCCGGAGGAAGAATTGGGGGTGTGGTTTGGCTCGGGGGCGGGGTTTGGGGCCGACGGCCTCCGCCACAGGCTCGTAGGGGTTAGGGTGGGGCCAGGCGGAGGTGGGCGGGGAGAAGCCAAAAAGTGGTAGTCAGGGGCGGGGCCTGGACCGGGAGTGCGATCGAGGGGCGGGGCCTCTGGAGGCTCCCAACTCCAGGGGTCTCTGGTCTAACCGTGCGCTTTTACCACCACCCCCACACTTTCTCACTACCCCAGCTGGCCTTGAACATCGGAAACACGAGCTTCAATGAGGTCATGGAGGCCCAGCTACCCTCACACGGCGGCCCTAAACCCTCAGCTGAAAGTGACATGTAAGGGGATTCTCGGATGGAGGGGCGTCCTGACTAGGGGCTTCTGCCTCCCCAGCCCCTGGGTTCTCAGAAGGATCATGGATTAGAATTCTGGGAAGAGGGGAACCCCAGATCTGGACATCTGTAGGGAAAAGGATATCTGTGTCTCCAGTGGCATGATTCTAGGGGTCAGCTGGGTGGATCCTGAGATCCTGTGGTTGTTTTTGGTAGGAGCACCCGCAGGGACTACATTGTGGCCAAGTATGTGGAACATAGGTTTGCCCGGAGGTCCACACCTGAGCCCCAGAGACTCCGGACAGCCATCTGCAACAGGGACCTCCTATCTATCCTGGAGGCTTTTGCCAATGGACAAGACTTTGGACAGCCACTGCCAGGGTCTGACACACAGGTGAGAACACCCGGCAAGGGCCACTTGTAACCTACCTAACTATGGAGTATTTACATGACTCCATAGTTCTCCAGGACCAGGTGCTCCACCTCTAGCACCTGCTCAAATCTCACCCATCAGAGGGATAAATGGGGAAAAAAGCACAGCTTCAGTCAATCAGACCTGTGTGGGAATCCTGGCTCTGTTTTTTCCTAGCTATATGATCCAGGACAGGTTACTTTACTTCTCTGAGATTCATTTCCTTATCTATAAAGTGGACTAATAATAGCACCCACAGGGTTGAAGTGAGAATTAAGTCATGTATTTAAAGGGCCTGGTGTATAATGAGTGTGCAATAAATGCTAGTATCTTTTTCTTTTACTTGAATAGCCTTGAAATGGGAAAGGGTAGGTCAGGTAGAGCAGGAAAATTCACTTCATTGGCTATTCCAGTAACAAACAAGTGAGCAGGGAGAAAGGGTGTCAGAGGCACTGGAAAGAATAAATTGACAAGATCCAGTAACTAATTCACATCAAAAATTAGATATCTTTGAGCTGTCTGTCTGATATCTGGGCAGGCTGTTCAGAGGGTAGTGAGAGAACAGCACGTAGGTGAGATAAGAGTTTGGAACAGGCTGCATATATGAGCAACAACTGAAAGCATGAGGTTGCTGAGGTCTCAAAGGGGAAGAAAGAGCCAGGAGAGGAGCCCAAGGCCAAGAACTGAGTTTGGGAAACACCTTCTGCTGGGGGGGGGGGCTTGGGGGGAGAGGAGGAAGAATCATGGAAAGAAACAGGGAGGGAATAGTCCTTCACCTTCCTCCCAAAGCTAAGGTTCCATCCAGTCAGGCTCATCTCTCAGGGATCCAGCAACTTCATATTGGGATGTCAGGGGGGCAGCAAGAGTTCAAGAGGGTAATGTTGGGCTGGGAGCAGGCGAACTGGGAGAAACTCAGAGGTGTGGATGTGTATTCAGGTACCTGGAGAGCTCGCCCTGCACTTGGCTGTCAAAGTCACCAACCAGGCCTCCTTGCCTCTTGTGGATTTCATCATCCAGAATGGGTGAGCACCTCCCTACGTCCTCATGCTGCCCCCTTCTTTCCCTCCTCTTCTCCAAATCTCCCTCCTTTCTGCTCCTTCTTTCCATCCTTGGGTTTGACACCCCCCCCCAATCACTGGTATGTTCCCCTTCCTTTCTCTCTCGACCCTTCTCCCCCAGTGGGCACCTGGATGCCAAGGCTACTGATGGGAACACTGCTCTTCACTATGCTGCACTGTGCAACCAGCCCGACTGCCTCAAGCTGCTGCTGAAGGGGAGAGCGTCGGTCGGCACAGGTGGGACTCCAATACCTCCTGCATCAGACTCTCATTCCTGACTACTCCATGTGTGGGACTTCCAGAAGACTTGGGTTCTAATCCTGGCTTGCTTCTGGCAACATCTCTGACACTGGGGGCTTCATCTTTTGAACCTCAGTTTCCTCATCTGTGTAATGAGATTAATACCACTGACCTAATAGGCCTGCTAAGAGAATAAATAAAATAGTAGTTTTGAAGGCACCTAGCCAAATGAATGCTAGCTGAATCTGAATAATAATGATTATAATAGCTACCATTTACTGTTTAACATGTGCCTGGTAATAGGCCAAGTTTACACATGTTAGTTAATTTAATCCTCACAAAAACCTTGTCAGGTAGTTAGAAGTTTTGTTTTCATTTCATAGATGAGACAATTATGTCCCAGAGAGGTTACATAACTTGTCTGAGGTTAGCAAGAAAGTGGCAGGACCAGGATTCAAACCCAGAGGTCCATCTCAATTTCTAAGCTATAATGTCTCTTTGACCCTGACCATGACCCCTAATTTTACCCATACACAGTGAATGAGGCAGGAGAGACAGCCCTGGACATAGCCAGGAAGAAGCAGCACAAGGAGTGTGAGGAGCTGGTGAGATTTTATGGGAGGAGAGGAGCCCCCTGACTCTTACTCTCTCCATCCTGAGCCCCTGACCTCTAAACTACCAAGCCTTTGTTTTTGGCAGCTGGAGCAGGCCCAGGCTGGGACCCTCACCTTCCCTCTGCACTTGGACTACCCTTGGGGAATTTCAACAGAGCCTGGCTCTGACAGTGAGGAGGATGAGGAAGAGAAGGTAGGTCCCAGGCCCTGCCTCTCAGGCCTCTAGGTGGCCGAAGGAAAGGGCCAGAGTGGGCCTGGTATGGGGAGGGGCAGGGCTGAAATGGAGGAACCAGGATGTCCTCCCTCCCACACTTTGCCCCCTTAGCGCTGCCCTCTGAAGCCCCCAGCCCATGCCCGCTGGGTCAGTGGAAGGCTGGACATCAGCAACAAGACCTATGAGACCATCACCAGCCTGGGATCAGCTACCCCTCAGAGCCAGAGTGAGGATTGCCCCCCACCTTTGCCTGTCAAAAACACCTCTCGGACCACAGTCCAAGGATGTGTGAGACATGCCAGTGGAGGTACGGTTGGTTGCCCAGAAAAATGCTCATCATGCCTTGCACTGAAGGCCTACTGTGTGCTGGGGCACTTAGCTAAGAGTGTATTTGTTAGTCCACGCCATCCTCATCTTCCCCTTACGGGTGAAGAAACAGAGATATTAAGTGACATGCTTAAGATCCCACAGCTAAGTCACTGATGTAGGATTCAAATCCACTTCTCCTCTTCCAAATTCCTCAATGCTTCACCAAAGTAAAAAGAGAGAAAAGAATGCATCAAGCATCCACTGCATCCTGAGTGCTTTGAGGACTCCCAAGACACAGTCTAGTGGGGGAGATAAAAACTGAAATGAAGGCTGGGTGCAGTGGCTCACTCCTAAAATCCTAGCACTCTAGGAGGCCAAGGTGGGTGAATTGCCTGAGCTCATGAGTTTGAGACCAGCCTGAGCCAGAGTGAGACCTCATCTCTAAAAATCGCTGGGCATTGTGTCAGGTGCCTGTAGTCCCAGCTTCTTGGGAGGCTGAAACAAGAGAATCACTTGAGTCCAAAGTGAGCTGTGATCTCACAGCATTCTACTAGGGGCAACAAAGACTCTGTCTCAGAAAAAAAAAAAAAAAACTGGAATGAAATTTATCATAATCCAAGGCAGAATGCTATATAGACCCTAAGTCTCAAAAAGACAGGGACTTTGAAAATTTTGTTGACTACTGTTTCTCTAGCACCTATCCCAGAGCCTGGCTGTTGTCAAGAACCATTTGTTGAACGAATGAATAAGCTGGTTCTGGGAGGGAGGGAACATGCTCTATTGGGATTGGGAGTGGGTTAGGAAGACTTCCTCATGGGACTAGTCTGATTCTTAGCGTGAGGTCTGGGCAGGCGAGTCCAGACTGAAGAGAGGGAATGAGCAGAAGCAAAGAAAGTGAGTCCGCGCTAGCTGTTGTGAATGAATGCTGCAGCTGAAGGAGAATGATGGAGAGGTAGACAGGGAATGGGAAGGTGGCAGAGAACCTCAATAGGTCCTAGAGGCCAAAGACTGCTTTGAAATTAAGCACAGAGCAAGTGAGAAAGATAGGCTTTATCATTTCCCATTCCAGATCGTTCTGAAGTCCCCAGCCTGAGTTCAGAGACCTCTGAGGCCCCTGAGAGCCTGGGAAGTCCAGCCTCCTCCTCCTCTAGCCTCGCAAGCCCTGTGGAACCTGGGGGGCCCAGCCAACTCCCACCCAGCTCTGAAGAGAGTCTCCGGGAGCCTCCAGGCACTTGCCGCCATAGCCTGACATCTGGGACCACCGCTTCAGAAATGTATCTCCCTGTCAAGTTTAGGTTAGTGAGGGCCCACCTGTGCAACCTGGGCAAATCTTTTGACTTCTGTAAGCATTCATTTATTTCCCACCTCTAAATAGTACCTGCTTAAAGACTAGGCCAACTCTGAGGCCTATGACTTATGCAGAATTGCTATTCCCCGGTAGAGGGTGATTAGACCCCTGCCCCCTTCACATACCTGTTCCTAAGCCTGCCCTGGAGATCTGGGGAGGACCCTGGTGGTGAAGTTGAGTAGAGAAGGCTTAGACCCACCTCTGCAGCTTGTTCTAGAGGCTGTCAGTGGGGTCTTCTCTCTGTCCCCACCTCTCACCCAGAATCTAGTACTCTCCTTCCCTTGCAAACCCTTCAGTCTGGAGTTTTGGGAGAGGCAGACCTGGGGATAGCCCAGAGCCCTCTGGAGGTCAAGTCCAGGCCTCTTGACCCTGTGATAGACCCAGCCCAGGGCCCTTGTGGACTCTCTACCCACCCATCCTAAGCCTCCAGGCTTGCTGTGTACCTGAGCCCTTTCTTCCCACTCTGACAGGCTCTCTGGGCACCAGGGTCACACTGGCCTTTCTTTCCCTGCCTTCCAGCTCCGAGAGCACTCGCTCCTACAGGCGGGGAGGCCGGAGCCTGGAAGATGGTTCCTCAGCCAGGCAGCCTTTGCCTAGGAGAAACATGCCGGTAGGAGGACTGGGACTGTGGTCCAAGGGGTGGTGATGGCAGGGTGCCTGGAAGGCAGAGTGGTCAAGAGTAGACATACTGGAGTAGGCATCCTCTCCATGGTTGGGGTACCCTTGGCCTAGGCAGCTGCAGTTTGGCCGATCTCTGTCCTGGTGCTCCTCTTTCTCTGCTCTAGCCCAAGCTGAGGCGAGCCCCGGCTTTAAGGGAAGAGCTGATAAGACTCAAGCTCTCCCCAGGGGTAGATAAGCAAAGCTGTCTCACCCAGGCCTGTTGCTGTAGAAGAGGCAGGATTAGGGTAGTTGGGTACTAGTCCTTGGTGTGCCTGACTCTCCCCTTGTACAGGAAGTTTCCTGGAATCCATAGGGACATCCAGATCCCAGGCATAATGGGATATGACAGGGACAGAGCAGGAGCTGTCATCCTTAATCTGGCTTCTCGCTGCTAAAGTACAAAGTTCCAACAATTACATGTATTTAATTGAGCCTAGGATGGGCATAGGTCAGAGCCAGTTGTGTTGGAAAGGATGCCTCCTCTGCTCCTTGTTCCCCCTACGGGTTCCTCAGGGATGGCATTGGTTGTACTGGGAGTGGGAAATGGTAGGGGCAGAAGCTGGGTCTCTCTGGGGAATCATCAGCTCAGCTCACCAAAGTTAGGCACGCGATACAAATCTGTGTCCATACTCAGTTCCACTGTTGCCCTGAAAATGAAGTATTCATCATGGCTGCCAATTGATGCCTGTTGTGATGGTGTTCATGTTAGTAAGAGGTCGGGCTTTAAAGTGAGAAGATCTTGGGCATGTGGTTTCACTTCTTTTTTTGTGTGTTTGTTTGTTTTTGGCCAGGGCTGGGTTTGAACCCGCCACTTCCAGCATATGGGGCTGGCGCCTTACTCCTTTGAGCCACAGGCACGCCCTGTCATTTCACTTCTTTAGGCTTCAGTTTCATTGTCTGTATAATGAGAATAATTTAATCTACCCAAAATAGGGTCGATGTGAAACTAAGTGAGATAAACATCTGATATGTAACTGCTACCTGGAAAATGTCAGTTTCATTCTTTTTTCACAGGTTGGCTTCCCAGAAGGAGATAGTTCAAGGACTGGAGTCCTCCCGACAAGTTCTGTGCAACTTTTGCAAGACTAGCTCCTTGCTGCCCCCTGCATGCCCCATGTTGCACGCCGATGTTCAGAGCTGGGATTTGAGCTCACAAAACTGGGGAACTGAGGTGTTCATTCTCGTGGGTTTGCTGTCTGTGTCTCTTGTGCCTCTGTGGCTGGACTTCATCCTGCCATAGGCCATGCCACTGCCCAAAACAGAGGGCCCTTCCATGTTAGGGGTGATTGCAATTCTTTCTGCTCTATTTCGTTACCTCCTAGGGGCCAGAGAGCCCTGTGGCTAGATCTGAGTATGCCTAAGCTGGCTTTGGCTGCAGAAACTTCAGTCCTTCATCAGGTCAGGACTATGTTTCTCTCATCAGTCTAGGGCAGTGGTTCTCAGCCTTCCTAATGCCACGATGTATTTCCATTGCTAAAAAGGGGTTGCCACCCACAGGTTGAGAACCGCTGGTCTAGGGGCTTCATAGGAATAGGACCACCCTCCTTCGTCATTCACTTCCAGATCAGAGCCTCTGCCAGACTAGGACTGTCTTCTCTGTCATTCAGTTGTCCCTTTACTGTCCAGACCTGTGTTAGGTACTTCACATGCCACACAAATAAGACAAGGGCCCTGATGGTGGAAAGCTGGTATCAAGGTTCCAGCTTGGGAATGGGCAGGGCCAGATTCTAAGGGGATGGTTTCAGGTTCAGGGGCAGGTACATGTATAAACCAGGACAATCAGCTGGTTTATACCTGCATGACCACTGCAGTTGTCCTCAGCCTATATCCACCTGTACTGCACTGGGTGTTAGATGAATGTCAGTCCTTTTGAGGAACAGCACACCCTTCCCTGGGCTCTCTAGATTATACTCCCCAGCCAGGTAGTAGATTAGGACTCACCTACTTTGCCTGTCTCCTTGGTTTAGCAAGAAGGAAAGGAATGGTCTGGGCTCATTGACCACTTCTTTTTCTCTTGGTCAACTTAGGAACCTTCTAGTCTGGAGAAGTGAGGGACCAAGAAAGGAGAATTCTAGAAATGGGGAAGCAGAGACTTCAAGGTTCTGCTTCCCAATGCATGAAATTTCACCATTGCTCAGCCCTGATTAAAAAGCAAATACAAAGTCCCCGATTAGAAAGTAAACCTAAGCCATCATCAGCCACTAACATCTCAGCTTTACTGGGTGTTGGACCCTGACAGGGATGGGTCAGGCTGAGCAGGGAGGCCGGAGAGTGCCAATGGCCAGTGTGGTGGTCTGGCTGGGGTGGCTGGGCTGTTTACTCTGGAGACCTGACTGCTCTGTGTGTGTTATCTTTTGAGCCTCCAGTGTCTGCTTTTTGTTCATCTCAGACTTGTTATTTCACTCATCTCTAATAAAAGATTTTTGGATATAAATTCCATTGGCTCCATTTATGTGATCTGAAGGATATTAGGGAAGGGAAAGGAATCTCGGAGACTGGAATTCTTTTTCTGGACCTGGGAGGGGAGACAGCCTGGTATAGAGCAGTGGTTTGCAATGGGGGTGGTTTGCCCCAGAGGACAGCAAAGCAGAAGAGTTTTGATTGTTCCTAACTGGAGGGTGCTACTGGCTAGTAGTGGACACAGGTCAGAGATGCTGCTGAACATCCTACAGTGCACAGGTCAGCCCCTCACAATAGTGAATTATCCTGGCCAAGATGTTAATAGTACCCAAGCCAAGAAATCCTGGAAAGAGCACTGGACTAGGGGTCTGAAGACCTGAAGTCCTGTCCCTGCCATGGTCCTCTGCCTCCATTCCTTTCGATTGTTTCTGAGACAAGGATTTGGGGGCAAGTTTATTTGTGAGGTGATCCCAGGAACCACAATGAAGGAATAGAAAAGTGAAACAAGTTAATACAACAAAGAATGTATTAATCAGGGGTTACTGCTGTGGGCAACAAGGGCTTAATCTTGCTGGGCTCCTGTGAGATGGTATTGATTAGAACATGCCTTCAACTTGTCCCATTGCAAGTGAAGAAACTGGGGCTTTCTATCAACTCTGGGTTCTTGCTGGTTGCAGTTGTCCCTTCTGGGACCATCAATTCCCTGCCTGCCCCAAAGCCTTCGAAGAAATGTGGGAAGCTGTCCCAGATGTGGCCAGGACATGTCTGCAGGAGACCTCCAGGATGGACAGGTAGCTGGAGGGGATGTGGTGGGTAGCGACAGGTGGGTACCTTATAGGGTCTGTTACTGTAACCCTGAGTAGATCATCAACCTTGCTGGGCGTCAGTCTTCCTGTCTATACAACAAAGGGCCCTTCAAGCCCTGATGACATAATAGTCTTGGCTTCTTTTAATATCACACAGCTCAGGGTAGGGATTGGGCAGAAATCTGAGGAAAATCCAATCTGGTTCTCTGTTTTTTAAAGAAAGCAAAACTATCCACAGGCTGCTGTCTCTTCAACTCAGAGGGGATTGCCTGGGGGTTGGCCAAAAGGCCTCCCAATCTCAAACCATTAAAGTCTAACCTTCTAAATGTGGCATACAGTTCTAAATGATCAGGTCCTGCCCACTGCCTCGCCCTACACTCCCCTCACCTCTGTGCTGCAGCCACACCAAAGTTTTTGGTTCTTTTAACACTGACACACCAAGTACCCCCCCCATCCCTGAGTTTGCATATACAGAACTGCAAGAGGACTGTTTTGTTCCTTTCTGAATGTCCAGATCTAGAACTGCCTGGCACATAGTAGGTGCTCAGTAACTTTACATGTTGCATGAATGAATGGATTTTCTTCCTCTTTTACATGGACACTCCCTCCTCCTCCTAACTCCCACTCTGCAATTTAGCCCAAAGTTTAAACTTCATTTCTGCAGAGAAGATGACACCCCAACTGGTTCAGGGCCCCCCAGAGGTGGCGACTGGCCTGATTCCCCACCCCTCATCCCAGCTGTGATAACTGCAGTCATTTACCATGTCTGTATTTCTTTAAGGTTTCTCTTGTCCACAGTCTGAGTCTCAAGCTTGCTGGGACTATGTCTTGTCTTGTTCATTGCTTGGACACTCAATATGTACTTGTTGAACAAATTAAAAAAACCCACATTGTCCTACCTTGATCCTAGTCACATAGCAGCAGTTAGAAAACAGGTATTTACACCAGGCTGTCTTTGTAACCCAAGCTGGGATGGGGTTCTTTGAGGTTCTCAGGCAAGTCTGGACATTTCTCCGAACACCCCAAGCTGCACAGCTCCCCAACCTACACACACTAAAAACCACTTGCCTCCTCTCCAGGTCCCTAAGTCCCCATCCCTCTCACAGGAAGAGCAATTAAACTTTAGGAAGAGAACTAGGTCTGTAGGGGATAGTTTGAGGTCCTTCCACAGTAAGGCAGATCTGGGCACAGCTGGGGGAGGTGGCACAATTGTGTTTCCTTTCCTGCACCAAGATGACCTACCAAACCCGTCCCCATTGGGGAGGCACTGGCCTGATCCTGAATAAATAAAGGGCACTCATACACCTTGATTTGATAGAAATAGACTGGTATTTCTCAAAGTTCGAATCGCTCAAAAATCTCCCAAGCCCTCACTACTCAGAGAACAGCGCTGGGCCAGCAGTCTTGGGAGCATTCTTAGAAATGCAAAACCTCGGGCGGGTGCCTGTGGCTCAGTGGATAGGGTGCTGGCCCCATATACTGAGGGTTGCGGGTTCAAACCCGGCCCCGGCCAGCTAAAACAGCAGTGGCAATCGCATCAAAAATAGCCCGGCGTTGTGGTGGGCGCCTGTAGTCCCAGCTACTCGGGAGGCTGAGGCAAGAGAATCGCTTAAGCCCAGGAGTTGGAGGTTGCTGTGAGCTGTGACGCTGCAGCACTCTACCGAGGGTGATAAGGTGAGACTCTGTCTCTGAAGAAAGAAAGAAAAAGAAAGAAATGCAAAACCTCACTAACAAAGTAGACAGTGAGCAAACTGAGTTCAGGGGTATACAGACCTAAAGAGAGTTTGGATACAGTGGTGCACACTGGCAGTGTGCCCGAAGCAATGAGTGCAGATTTAAATGATCTGCACACACACACACACACACACACACACACAAATATAGCGATCCCAACGTAAAGAGTTGCCTCCGCTTGGGCATAGGGAGGGAACTGAGTCCTTCCGCTTTGCGCTGCAGCCGTTCACAGACGCAGGAGCCCAGAACTCTTCCTGGAGCTCCTGGAGCACCCTCGGGTGCACTCTACGCGCGATCTCTTGTGCCCCGGGACAGCCACCTCCCTGATCTCCAGAGAGCCCTCTTCCTCAAATCTCCCTTCAGCCAGCCGACACCCCGGCAAAGGCCGGAGGTGAGGGGCTCGCTCTCACTGCCTGGTCTCCCAGCTGAAGCCCCACTGGGCGGCTAGGGCAATCTTCGCTCGGGCGAGTCCTTGAAGTCTATATTTAGTGCACGCCACCCCACCCCCCACGGTTGGAAGGCTGGCGGACTGGCCGGCTGGCGGGGGGGTGGTGTGTGTGTGTGGAGCCCCGCCCCCGCCAGGCGTGCGTGTCGTGTGTGTTTGGGTCCCGCGCGGGTCCAGCGCCCTCCGCCTGGCGCCTCTTGCCCCAGGCCCGGCTGCTACCCCTGCGCCCGTCGTCCCGCCGGGCGTCGCGGGCCAACATGGGCCAGGAAGAGGAGCTGCTGAGGATCGCCAAAAAGCTGGAGAAGATGGTGGCCAGGAAGAACATGGTGAGGCTGCAGAGTTTGGGCCACTGCCCCCGCCCTCAGGAGGCGCGGCGCGAACGAGCTGGGGACACCCGGGGGCGCGAGCTGGCTGGGCGCCCGGCAGGCGCGTGCGGGACTCAAGGACCCGAGGGAGGCGTGGCTGGTGCAAGGCCCAGGGCCCCTTGGGGACACTTGCTGGGCACCTCGGGGTGGGCGTGTGCATGGCTCAGAGCGCCAGGAGGATCGTACGGGCCTCCGAGGCACGGCTTGTTCACGTCCCCCTTGGACGTGTAGGGTTCACCCGCGAGCCGCTTGTGCGGGGCCTGGGAAAAGGGGCGAAGAGACACGGACCTGGGAAAGGACTTTCGTAGTCTGGGGACTCTAAGGCGTGTGCAAAACCCGGGGAGCAGCAGGGATGGCAGGGAGGGAGGAGGGCCAAATCCTGGGTGGCCAGAGAAGGGACAGAGAAAGTTGGGCTGAGAAGAGGTGCTCAGCACCCCGGAGTGGATCTGCGGAAGAAAAGCAAAAAGCAGCGATCCTGCGATCCCACAGCGTTGCAGTGCCAAGACCAGTACTCTTCATTCTGTTCACAACTTTCCCTTTCCCTGGCCTTGGGGTGGGGCCCAGGCGGGTGGAGGCAGAACAGGTGCGGGGGCCTGCAGGCGGAGGGCGGGTTGGGGGGAGTGGGGCTGGAGGCCTAGGCCAGGAGGGAGGAGGGAGAAGCTGGACTCAGAAGGGTGGGGGTGGGGTGTGGACTGACTGACTGGCCCCACCTGAGGGGCCCAGAGGCCCAGAGCCACTGGAAGTTAATGTTTGATCTCCCCTGACCTTTGCCTTGGCTGCCTGGTCGCCGGGCCAAAGCAAATTTGGCCTTGGGTCCTGAAGGGCCTGGGCTCACTCACTCTGAGAGGGAAGAGCAGAGAGGGGAGCCAGGTAGCCCTGCCTCTCCACCTGCCCTGGCCCAGGGTCCTCTTCCTCCCACCATCCTTAGCCCTATGCAGCAGGACCTGCATTTCCAGTACATCCTGTGACCCCAGAGCTTGGGAAAAGGAGAGACCCTAAGGAAGGTTTTAGAGCAGAAAAGAGTAGCCAAGCCCAGAGGGAGGAGTGGCTGGAATTACAGAGACCCAAGGGTATTCTCTATGCAGTAATGAGTTGGTGTCCATATAAAGGCCTGTACCAAAGCTGCTTTATTTTTGAGGAGATAAGATTACCCGCCCCAGGGCGAGGGGTGTCATGGATTCCTGCTGGCAGTGGTGGGGGTTGAACAGACAGTTTTGTAAAACCCGTAGTAGGACTCCAACTGGTGCTTGGTTGGTAAGAACTGATGAATGAGACCTGCTTCTACGCAGCTGAGTGAAACCCAGAAAGGTTCAGTATAAACCTGCGAGAGTGCTGGGAGCTCTCACCCCTTCACCTCCTCCTGCCTCCACCTACTTCTATTCCAGGTTCCTCCAAAATCCTCAATATAACTTAGCCTTTAGTCATGGGAGGACTTCCCCAGGTAGGTATTCTGAACTGAATTCCATTTCAAGTGAACAGGTTATCCCAGCCCAGCCCCTTACTGAGCTCAGGCTTGGGCCAGGAAAGAAATTCTGGGCCTCTGGGTGAGAGGGGTAGGGTGGGGTGGGGAAGCATAGGAGACCCAGGGAAAGGCAGCTGGGTTGGGGTAGTGTTCTCTGACTGAAGAGGAAGGAACCTGCCTTGGCCTCCCTCCTCACTTCCTTTATGACCCAAGGCATGCCATTCTACTTCCCTCTCTGGGCCTGTTTGCTCTTCTATGAAGTGGGAAGAGGAAATGGTATCCTTGGGGATGGGTTCCTGTGGAAGTTCCCAGAGCCATCTCCAGGAAAGATGCAAGTCTGGTCACAGGGTCTCAGCAGCATGGAGCCAGTTTATAGCCACGTCTGCAACTGGGCTCTCAGCAGCATCTGGGTGGGCACTAGGCTCTGGGCATCTGGCCGAGAAAGGTGGGGCGTGCTCTGGGAGTGAAACTGGGCCCGCCCAGTGGTGGTTAGGCGGAGGAGGACACACTTCCTGTAATAAGACGGATCCTCCACGTTGCAGCTCCAGCCCAGGGTTTACTGCCAATTGCTGGAGTCCTAGTAACTTAGGGCTTTGGCAGATGCTCGGAGCATGCACCAACTGAAACAGCTTCAAACATACAACCAAGCACCTACAGTCACAGCTGCACGGGCATATAACTACAAACTAATGGACATAGCCATGCAAACTCAGCCACGCACAATAGCTAAACAAGCAACTACAGAACTAACTGCATATGAGACATAGTTAGTGCTGTGACCTACACTGACCATTGTAGTTACAGGAAGATACACAAAGACCGCCACACATACAAGTGTGTATATAACACAGCTGCAGCCAGACATGCAAAGCTCCAGTCTGAGCAAACACCCACATTTACATATTCAGATGTTGTCATACAGACAGCATCCTGCAAAGACAGACACAGCTGTGCCTAGAGCTGTACACTCCTGGACCAGAGATACCACTGGGTACACATCCCACATGTATATGCAGAGAGAGACACCTGGCAATGTATGCTCAAGGCTTTGTGAACTGAACTACAACTCAGGCTCATGGCCAGTCTTCTCCAGTATGGCCCAGTTATACAGCTGAGACACACAGATTCATACACCCAGTAGTGAGTAGAAACTGGCTTGACACCGACTGTGAATTGGAATTTTGCTAGCTGGTTGTTAAACACAGTCATTATAAAAAAATCAGGGTGGTGCCTGTGGCTTAGTGAGTAGGGCACCGGCCCCATAGGGTGGCGGGTTCAAACCTGGCCCTGGCAAACTGCAAAAAAAAAAATAAATAAATAAATAAATAAATCTGCTTATGGCCCAGTGCCAGTGGCTCAAGTGGCTAAGGCACCAGCCATATATACCTAAGGTGGCGGGTTCGAATCCAGTCCAGGCCCGCCAAACAGCAATGACAGCTGCAACCAAAAAATAGCTGGGCATTGTGGTGGGTGCCTGTGGTCCCAGCTACTTGGGAGGCTGAGGCAGGAGACTCACTTGAGCCCAGGAGTTGGAGGTTGCTGTGAGCTGTGATGCCACAGCACTCTACCCAGGGGGACAGCTTGAGGCTCTGTCTCCAAAAAAAAAAAAAAAAAAATTATCTGCTTACAAAAACAAAGGCACATGTATTAAATCCTCCAAAATCATCACTTTCTATTTATTTTTACTACCTCTTATGGGAAGGGAATTCACTTCTATTAGAGCTATATGATGGAAATAATATATAATGGTATAGTATTACGTATCTCTTCCTAATATGTCCTTTAGTGATGGTATGTTGGTAGATTGCAAGTGGACATGGGAAGAGTATTTACACCATAGAAACTGGCAAACACTACAAGTCAGTATGTTTTCCTGGAGAACTGATTGTTAAATGTTGACCAGCATGCCGCTGCATTTACTAGTGTTGACATTTCATGATTGTACATGATTAGACAGATCTATGCCCATACTACATAGTTGTATGGTGGTTAGAGCCTTAAAGGCCTGAATTCCACCTCAGCTCCTCACAAAGTGTATATAACCTTGGGGAAATTACTTAACCTCTCTGTTTCCTGGATTGCTGTTCTGTAACAATGGATAATAATTCTGTAAAAATGGGATAGTAAACAGGACCTATCTCATAGGGTTGTTGTGAAAGTTAAACCAGAAAATGCAAAGAAAATACTTAGAAGAATACCCAGCACATAGTGTGCCTTTAATTAATGGAACAAATGGAGTTGCCCATCTACAAGTTCATGTGGACATTTACCTGCAGGTCAGGGTTCTGAAAACATACTGTGAACCCAAGTCCCAAAGGAGGCTAAGGACTGACAGAAGGAAGCCTGTGGGACGTGGTCCAGGCCCTGGTAGAGTAGGGGTTGGGCAGCTGGAATCACAAAGTTGGAGCCAAAGAAAGGGACATACAGGTCACAGTCAGAGCTCCCCAGGTAACTGGTCCAAGGATAAGAGGCCAGGACTGGTTTCTAGGAAGTGGGTAGGAGGAAGGAGAAGGCTGAAATGGGTCAGAGGATATTCAGGGTCTGGCATCCTGCAGATTTTCATATCTGAGCCTCTCTTTTCCCCCTCTCACCTCCTGTTTTCTGCTTTATTCATTGACAAGTTCATGTACTCAGGGAGCACTGAGCTCTATGCTGACCCCTAAAGTCTCAGATTGAAACAGTTCTCTTCATTCAAGGAGTAAAAATATCTGTCCACACAAAGACTTGAATGCAGTGGCTCACGTCTGTAATCACAGAACTTTGGGAGGCCAAGGTGAGAGAATTGCTTGAGGCCAGGAGCTTGAGACCAGCCTGGGCAACATAAGGAGACCATGTATCTACAAAAAAAAAAGGAAAAAAAAGAAAAATTAGCCAAGTGTTAGTTGTGGTGGTATGCATCTATAGTCCCAGCCACCTGGGAGGCTGAGACAGGAGGATCACTTGAGCTTAGGAGTTGGAGGCTGCAGTGAGCTATGGTGATGCTACTGTACTTCAGCCTGGATGATAGAGCAAGACCCTGAGTAGGGGGGACTAATTTGTAGTACCCCCTACCGGGAAACTATCCTTAAGTCCCATCAACAGGTGAATGGATCAACAAATTGTGGAATATACATAAAGTGGAAAATTACTCAGCAATAAAGAGAATCTGTTGATCTACAAGGTGATATTGATGAGTCTCAAAGTGATTATACTGAGTGAAAGAAGACAAAACAGAGTTCATGCCCTACATACTCTTTATATAAAATCCTTAAAAAATACGGCTCAGCGCCTGTGGCTCAAGCGGCTAAGGCTCCAGCCACATACACCTAAGGTGGCGGGTTCGAATCCCCAGCCCGGACCCGCCAAACAACAAAGATGGCTGCAACCAAAAAAAATGGCCAGGCGCTGTGGCGGGCGCCTGTAGTCCCAGCTACTTGGGAGGCTGAGGCAGGAGACTCGCTTGAGCCCAGGAGTTGGAGGTTGCTGTGAGCGTGATGCCATGGCACTCTACCCAGGGGGATAGCTTGAGGCTCCGTCTCAAAAAAAAAAAAAAATCCTTAAAAATACAAGGTCACGGTCGGAAAGTGGCTCATGCCTGTAATCCTAGCACTCTGGGAGGCCAAGGTGGGAGGATCCTTTGAGCTCAGGGGTTTAGGACCAGCCTAAGCAAGACCGAGACCCCTGTCTCTACCAAAAATAGAGAAATTAACTGGTGGGTACCTATAGTCCCAGCTACTCAGGAGGCTGAGGCAGGAGGATCTCTTAAACCCAGGAGTTTGAGGTTCCTGCAAGCCAGGCTGATGTCATAGCATTCTAGCCTAAGCAACAAGAGTGAGTCTCTGTCTCAAAACAAACAAACAAGGTCACATATGGTGACAGAAAGCAGAATTGTGATTGTCTGGTGTTGGAGTGAAAGGAGGGATGGATTACGAAGGCATGAGGAAACTTTTAGGGATGGTGGCTGTGTTCTTATTTTGATTGTGGTGATAGTTTCACATGTCAAAACTCATCACATCGTATACTGCAAAAATGTGTGGGTTAGTGGCCAGGCATGACGGGTCACACCTGTAATCCCAGCACTCTGGGAGGCCAAAGCGGGCTGATCACCTGAGCTCACGAGTTCGAGACCAGCCTGAGCTAGAGTGAGACCCTGTCTTTAAAAACAGCTGGGGGCTGTGGCGGGCACCTGTAGTCCCAGCAAATCAGAAGGCTAAGGCGAGAGAATCACTTGAACCCAAGAGTTTGAAAGAATCACTTGAACCCAAGAGTTTGAGGTTGCTGTGAGCTATGATGTCACAGCAATCTACCGAGGTTGACAAATGAGACTCTGTGTCAAAAAAAAAAAAAAAAGTGTGGTTTATTACATGTCAGTTAAACCTCCATAAAGCTGTCTTGTCTTCTTCTTTCAAAAACAAGCCCACAGTTCTCACCCTGCAAAGCTCACAGTTGAGAAATGAGAGAAGGAGGCTAGACACAGGCAAGCAGCATTAAGCCAGGAAGTAATTTGTTTTGGAGGAAGGAAAGGGGAAGGGGAGGGCACACCTGGTAGGAGGCACGGCAGATCTAAGGCTGGAGGTCAGGGTGAGCAGTCAGGGCTGGACCCTGGCTCCGGCGGTTTGAACCCAGCTGGATAGTGAGGGACGATGTTTGAGTGCTGGCCTGGGAGGGAATCTTTCCCGGCTCTCTCCTTCCTCCTGCCCCTTGCCCATCCCTGCCACTCACCTGTCTGTATCCTCCTACCCTCTCTCCCCTCGCCAAGACCACACAATAGCGAGAGGGCGGCCTGGCAGAAGCCCAGGCCTGAGTTCTCATGTGGCCTCCCACAGGAAGGGGCTCTGGACCTGCTGAAGAAGCTGCACAGCTCTCAGATGACCATCCAGCTGCTACAGGTGGGGTGGGGGCAGGACACCCAGGGCCGGCTCAGGGTGGGGGGAGGAGAAGACACGGGTGGGGGAAAGCTCCATGGGGTGTGTCCCACTGGTAGGGGAAACCTTCAAAGGGAGATGCCGGGGAGAGGGGATCTTGAGGTGCAGACCTCCTAGGGTGGGGACAGAGGGAAACCCTGAGGCATCCTGTTGGGGCAGGGTGGCCTCGAGGCACACTGGGTGTGTGAGAAATTCTGGTTTGCTTTTCTTGACTATCCCAATTTCCAGAGCCTTGGGTCTGTGGGTTTCAAGAAGCCAGTGATCCAGGGAAAGGGAAACATCTCCCCATGTTTAAATCTTTGTGTGGCCTACATAGTCCCCAAATTTACTAGAAGTTCTGAAATTCTCAAAAATTAGCACAGACCCAAGGTGTGATAGCCAGAGCTGAGATCTAAGCCAAAACCTGAGTTCAGGGCGGCACCTGTGGCTCAATGGGTAGGGCGCTGGCCTCATATACCAAGGGCGGCGGGTTCAAACCCAGCCCTGGCTAAACTGCAACCAAAAAATAGCCAGATGTTGTGGCGGGTGGTGGTAGTCCCAGCTACTCAGGAGGCTGAGGCAAGAGAATCTCCTAGGCCCAGGAGTTGGAGGTTGCTGTGAGCTGTGTGATACCACGGCACTCTACCGAGGGCGATAAAGTGAGACTCTGTCTCTACCTCCCCCCCACCAAAACAACAAAACTTGAGTTCAAAGACACCTAGAGGGCTAGTAATGGGGAGGGGTCCTGATGGTCAGCCAAGGCCCCTACACCTCATCCCCCAACCCCTTTCTCAGCTTTCACTAAAGCTGCAATTATCCATTTGTCTGTCAGCATAGGTAGAGGCTTACCCTTGGGCAGGATGGCAGGGCAGGGCCTGAGTTACAGGAGAGGAATTATCATCTCAGCTAGAACACACTGCGAGTGAAGTGTCTAGGCTCAGAGGGAAGTGGTGGTAGAGCGGGGACAGGACCTGCCAATTAGGGCAGCCTGTCCTGACCAGCCCTAAACCCTCTCACTTTGCAGACAACCAGGATTGGAGTTGCCGTCAATGGGGTCCGGAAGCACTGCTCAGACAAGGAGGCGGTGTCCTTGGCCAAAGTCCTCATCAAAAACTGGAAGCGGCTGCTGGGTGAGAGGGGGCGAGATTTTTTTGTTTGTTTGTTTTTGTTTTTGAGACAGAGCCTCAAGCTGTCCCCCTGGGTAGAGTGCCATGGCATCACAGCTCTCAGCAACCTCCAACTCCTGGGCTCAAGCGAGTCTCCTGCCTCGGCCTCCCAAGTAGCTGGGACCTCAGGTGCCCGCCACAACACCCCGCTATTTTTTTGGTTGCAGCCATCATTGTTGTTTGGCGGGCCTGGGTTGGATTCGAACCTGCCACCTCAGGTGTATGTGGCTGGCGCCTTAGCCATTTGAGTCACAGGCGCCAAGCCAGAGGGGGCTAGTTTGACTTGAACCATGCTTTTCTCCTAGCACTTGGGACAAGATTGTGCCTGGCTTACAGTAGGCACTCAAGTATATATGTCTATTGAGTGACTAAATGAATGACAGATGGCCTCTGTATCAGGGAGTAGCTAGTGCAGAGTGCCAGTTTGTGTATACAAGTGCATGATTTAAATAGATGTGTGAGTTTTTGTGTACATGTGCCTCTGTGTGTGTGTATGGGCTCATGTGTTTGGATATATGAGACATGTCTGCCTGTACACATTTGTGTGAACACAAGTGCATAGGCGTGTGTGCCAATGTACACGTGTGAAAACGTGTATTTACACACACATGTTCATGTTGAATGTGCGTTTGTGTGTGTGTTGAGGATGTGTGCAGCTGTCCGAGTCTCTGCCCTCTGCTCCTCCTCCCTGAAGTTATACTGGGTTCTGCTGAAACAGAGTTTAGTTAAAGGCAATCCCACCTCTTTGTTCTCAGACTCCCCGGAACCCCTCAAAGGAGAAAAAGGAAAAGAAAGAGAAAAAGGAAAGAAGGAAAAGGGGCATCACTGTTCAGATTGGAAGTCAGAAGGAGACCTTTCTCCACCAAGGAAAAAACGAGAAGAGCCCCAAAACAGGTATTTTGTGGGAGATGGAGAGAAGGGGGTAGATAGCTGTCACATTCTCTGCCAGTTCTGTTCATGTTCTTTCATTTAAGCCTCACAACCGACAGGGTAGATGTTATTATCTCCTGCAGTAGCCCCTGTGGAGGTCATCTCTGGCTCAACCAGACAGACTCACAAGACCCAAACAGGCCCTGCCTGGCACTGGCTTCACCTAGGAGGATGCAGGGACAGGAAACAGTGCAGTCTTATTGCAATAAGACTAGAATGGAAATTGTGATTTTTTCCAGGTAGTAGGAGAAATGGTTTCTTTTAATAATAATAATGGTTATTATTATTGCAAATGTCTTTTTTTTTCAATAAATATGTACTAATTTTGAGTACAGGTGTCTCTCATCAGCAAGAGTTGTCATAGGAGACCACACTGCCAGAGCTGTTCTGTGGCCCACACAGGTGATAGCCCAGATGCAGGGAAACAGGATCGTGATGGGTGGGAGCCCCTGGCTTAGAATCCCCATGTCCCAAATCTTACAGCATCCCATAGGCAAAGCTTCCAGGATCCTGCAAGGGCAGTCAGTGCTCATGTGCAAGATTCACTGTACTCAGGGCAGTTTGAAAACTTGGTTTCCACTAATTATTTATAGTTCATTCATAACCACTCCCATCTAGACACAATTGACCAATCAGGCGTCATTTGCGCTATCAGCAATGTTGCCTAATGACTCAGCTGACATATTACTTTTACCAGGCTTTCAGGTTTCCAGGATAAACGGGACTAGGAATGTAATATGTTCATGGAGAAAGAGAAGTGTCCTGTTAACTCTTTATTCAGTGTTCCCATTTATCAATGAGGAACCTGAGCAGGAGAAATGACACAGCTGTTATGTGACAGATTGTCAGAACTCCACACCTCTACTGAGAGGAACAGAACACTTATTTATCTGAATTCTGTGTTCATTCCCCCATGCGTATCCTAGCCAGAGTATTACCTAAAACTGCATGAGTCTCAGCATGCCTTTGTGGATGTATAAATAAATCCTACCTGTTCTCTGGGAGATCAAGTAACTTCGGGGGGGGGGGGTGTGTGTGTCTGTGTTTGTTCATCTAGTAAATAAAGGGATGGTATTTGATAATAATGAAGACACCTACCAGCTGTGATATAGCAAGAATTTTTTTTTTTAGAGACAGAGTCTCACTTTGTCACCCTTGGTAGAATGCTGTGGCGTCACAGCTCACAGCAACCTCCAGCTCTTGGGCTCAGGCAATTATCTTGCCTCAGCCTCCTCAGTAGCTGGGACCACAGGTGCCCACCACAACACCCAGCTTTTTTGTTGTTGTTGCAGTTTGGCCGGGGCTGGGTTTGAACCTGCTACCCTTGGTATATGGGGCCAGCACCATACTCACTGAGCCATAGGTGCCACCCTATAGCAAGATTTTTTAACATATATTACTTTTGACTCAGTGTATCCGCTCCCAGGAATTCCTTTTAAGAAATTAATCAGATTATAGCAAAAAGATTTTTTTCTGTGTGGTAACGTTTTTTGCTGTTTTTTTCCTGAAACATTTTTGAACTCTAGGGGCAGGCACTATAGCTCATGCCTGTAATCCTAGCACTCTGGGAGGCTGAGATGGGAGGATCCTTGAGCTCAGGAGTTCAAGATCAGCCTTAGCAAGAGTGAGACTATCTCTATCTCTACCAAAAATAGAACAATTAGCCGTGCCTGTAGTCCCAGCTACTTGGAAGCCTGAGGCAGGAGGATCACTTCAGCCCAGGAATTTGAGGTTGCTGTGAGCGAGGCTGATGCCATGGCACTCTAGCCAGGGGCAACAGAGTGAGACTCTGTCTCAAAACAAACAAACAAACAAAAAAACCCAAAACAATAGAAAATAAATAAACAAAAAGAACAGAAAAAACATGTTTTAGTTCTGAACCTTTTTAAACTTAATGTTTGCAGTTATAACTGTATAAGATAAGTGTCTAGAGGAATATATTTTGGGAAATGAAGCTGTAAGAGGGTTGATTCTCAACCAGAAGGGAGATATACTTCCAGCACCCCACTCCCATTTTTGGTTGTAAAAGAAATAACTGCCTGGGCAGGGATGCTGACTGTCCTGCAGTGCACAGAATAGTCCCACAGATTGCAAGATTGAAGTATTTACTTACTAAGTTCAAAGCACTGCCATGGAGAGTCAATGTAGGATAGAAGAAAAAGAATGACACAGGAACATGGTCACAGAGTATTAAGCGAAACTGTGTGCAATATAGTATATGCAGTATGATCCTGCTTTTATAAAAATTAAATAAGTGAATTTTATGTGTATACATGGGAAACAAGACTAGCATGGAAATTGTGATTATTTCTGGGTGGTAAGAGAAAAGGTTTCTTTTTTGTTTCTTCTTGTTGCAAATGTCTTTTTTTTGTCCATAAATATGTACTAGTTTCAAGTAATAGAAAATAATGAAGCTATTTTTAAAAAACAAAAACATACAAAATTAAGAGGATCGTCACATTCTATATTATGCAATAAAATGTTTAAATATATGTTGTTGGGTTTTTTTCATGTTGATCCTTCACTGGTTTTAAAAACAAAATAAATGGCTCGGCGCCTGTGGCTCAAGAGGCTAAGGCGCCAGCCACATACACCTAAGGTGGCGGGTTCAAATCTCCAGCCCGGGCCCGCCAAACAACAATGATGGCTGCAACTAAAAAATGGCCAGGCGTTGTGGCGGATGCCTGTAGTCCCAGCTACTTGGGAGCCTGAGGCAGGAGACTCGCTTGAGCCCAGGAGTTGGAGGTTGCTGTGAGCTGTGATGCCATGGCACTCTACCCAGGGGGATAGCTTGAGGCTCCGTCTCAAAAAAACAAACAAACAAACAAACAAAAAATAAATGATTGCACTTTTGAAAAGTAAATAAGAGTGATAAAATCTGTTGTAGAATAATGGAAAATATAGAAAAGTAGAAAAAAATCAACATTCCCACCATTCAAAGATAATTAATAAATCAGTCTTTACCGGGTGCAGTGGCTCACTCCTGTAATCCTAACACTCTGGGAGACAGAGGCAGGAGAATTACTTGAGCTCAGGAGTTTGAAACCAGCCTGAGCAAGAGTGAGACCCCAGCTCTGCTATAAATAGAAAAAATTAACCGGGCATTGTGACAGGCACCTGTAGTCCAGCTACTTAGGAGGCTAAAGCAGAAGGATCCCTTGAGCTCAGGAGTCTGAGGTTGCTGTGAGTTAGGCTAACACAACAGCATTCTAGCCTGGGCAACAGAGTGAGACTCTGTCTCAAAAAAAAAAGATAATTACTCTTAATATTTTTGGTATGTGGTTTTTCTTTCTATTCTCTCTTTGACTTGTTTTCTATAATTATCCCCAATGTTATAGTCTGTTCTTTAAAATATAGTAACTTGTCAAAGGGTTCTATAACTTTTGTCTTGTTTAATTCCTTCCATATTGCTCATTTTGCAATTGTATCCCTCTGGGAAAAATTCTAATTGGCATTTCATTTTTCACATGGGTGGATTTTATTTTCCCAAAGGGGTTAGAAAATTGGCTGGCAGGGATGCTCTGACTGGTTCCACAATGCCTAGCACAGAGTAAACATTTACTGAATATTGCTAGACCCATTTGTACCGATGTGACTGCCTGTGGATTATCTACCATTCATGTCCTGGGTGCCAGTCTGGCCATGTCTGGAGCACCTGTTTGGTTGTGAGCACCTGAGCAAATGAAAGATCAGAGTGGAAGAGTTGGGAGGCTGAACTACTGATTTCCCAAACTGTTTGGAAAATACCCTCTTCCCCTTCTCTTGGCAAGGGGATCAAATGGGATACAGGATTAATCTGTATCATAGGGAGTATAGGCATCCTGGTGGAGATGGTAGCCTGAATATATTTATTTTCTTTTGCTCCATCCCCAAATCCTCTTAAATGATCAGCAAAGGGATTTCTTTTGAAGGTCTACAAGGACAATAGGTGTGGGAGAGGAGAAAACTGGAAGGCAGAAAACCAGGGTCTGGGGTGAACTTGGTTCCTTACTCACCCCTATCTTCTCTGAGACTCAGTATTAGAGCCTGAAAAATGTACAGCATTATCTCAGTTCTTCTTAAAATAAAACCTTTTATTTGGAATATATTTTAATTATATTTGTTGTTTTAATTTTACTGGTTTATATTATATTTATGATATGGCTAATTACTTGCTCTTTGTAGAAAGCTTTAAAACACACAAATAGGAAAATAAAAAAAATCTAGAAACAAGCATTCTTATATATAATTGTGTGTATATATACATAAATAAAAATTACAGAGACATATCCTTCTAGACCTTTTCCTATGTATGCTTACCTAGCAAACGCATTTATTTGTTTGAATAAAATGGAATTATAGGCTGGGCGTGGTGGCTCACACCTGTAATCCTAGCACTTTGGGAGGCTAAGGCAAGGGATTCCTTGAGCTTAGGAGTTCAAGACCACTCTGAGCAAAAGCGTCTCTACTGAAAACAGAAAAACTAGCCGGGCATTGTGGCAGGCACCTGTAATCCTAGCTACTTGGGAAGCTGCGGCAGGAAGATTTCTTGAGCCCAGGGGTTTGGCGTTGCTATGAGCTATGATGATGCCACAGTACTCTACCCAGGGTGACAGAGAGACTCTATCTCAAAAAAAATAAATAAAATAAATAAAATAAAATGGAATTATACTCTGTATACTATTTTGTAACCTCCTCACGTACATATATTTATTCAACAGTAAGTCAGATTTAGTGTAAAAAGGGAAATCAGGCCAGGTGTGGTGGCTCACACCTGTAATCCTAGTACTTTGGGAGGCCAAGGCTGGTAGATCACCTGAGCTCACAGGTTTGAGACCAGCCTGAGGCAGAGGGAGACCTCATCTCTAAAAATAGCCAGGCGCCTGTAGTCTGAGCTACTTGGGAGGCTGAGGCAAGAGGATCGTTCAAGCCCAAGAGTTTGAGGTTGCTGTGAGCTGGACTCAGCACTCTATGCCGCTCTACTAAGGACGACAAAGTGAGACTCTGTCTTAAAAAAAAAAAGGTTTGGGAAATTAAACACAAGAAGAAATAACAGAAATAAATACTATTAACGTTTTAATGTATATCTTTCTAGTGTTTTAAGAACATATATATGTGCATTTATTTTCTTAGTAAAATTTTAATTTTCCTGGGATGCTAAATTGTTACACTAGCTCACTACTCAGCCTTGGAGCTCTGAAAAGAAGCTCTCACTGAGACTGAGCAGAGAGTAGGGTGGTATCTCCCCAAGTTGCTAGGAGAATCAAACTGCCAGGGGTCCTGTTTCAGTTAGATTAATGGTCTTCCTTGCATTCCCATTTTTCTTTTTATTTATTTATTTATTTTTTAGATAGAGTCTCACTTTGTTGCTCTCAGTAGAGTGCCATGGCATCATAGTCTTCATAACAATTATTTCCAATGGCTATGGAATATTTCTGATTTGTTCTAAAAGAAAAGCAATGAGGAAAGGCCAGAAAGGGGTGGTTCTCTGGGATGGAGGCTCCTGTCTCTCTCCCCTCTTCCAGTGCAGGGATTCTGGCTTTGGGGTCCTGTCTGCATTTGGCCGTCCCCAATGGGATAGACAAATAGGGAGGAGCCCCACAGCCAGAATTCCTACAGTGGAAGGAGGAGTCCTTCCAGTGGGGCTGGAAGGGGAAGAGCCCCACCGAGGACCCCTCCCAGGGCCCAGTGGGAGTGGACAGACATGTCAATGAGGGTCTCTCTTCCCCTCCCCCACATGTCTGGTGGAGGACTGTTCTTGGGATCTTTTTTTTTTTTTGAGACAGAGCCTCAAGCTATCACCCTGGTGTCACAGCTCACAGCAACCTCCAACTCCTGGGTTTAAGCAACTCTCTTGCCTCAGCCTCCCAAGTAGCTGGGACTACAGGTGCCTGCCATAACACCTGGATATTTTTTGATTGTAGTTGTCATTGTTGTTTGGCAGGCCCCGGGCTGGATTCAAACCCACCAGCTCTGGTGTACGTGGCTGGCACCTTAGCGGCTTGAGCTACAGGTGCCCAGCCTGTTCCTGGGATCTTTGACTCCCCAGCACTTGTGTGGAGAACTCCTTCAGACAGAAGCCCTGGGAGACTTGCAGGGGGAAGCCCTTGGGTCCCAAGTCATTGAGAACATGATGCCAAGGGGAAATGGGCTCTGCACACAATGTCTGTTGCAGTGATCAAACCCCACCAAATTCTGCTCTTGTGAAATTTACATGGGGGGATTGTCAGGTGATAAATATAATAAGTAAATCATATAGTAAGTTAGAAGGTGGCACATGCTATGGAGTTAAAAGAAGAGTAGCAGCCCAAGCAAGGGCAAAACTCTATCTGTACAAAAAAAAATAGAAAAATTAGACCGGCCACAGTGGCTCATGCCTGTAATCCCAACACTTTGGGAGGCTGAGGCAAGAGGATCACTAGAGGCCAGGAGTTCAAGACCAGGCTGGTCAGACCTTATTGCTACAAAAAAACCCCCAATAGCCAGGCATTGTAGTACACACCTGTAGTCCCAGCTTCTTTGGCAGGCTGAGCAGGATGGTCACTTTACCCCAGAAGTGGAAGATTGCAATGATCTATGATGACACCACTGCACTTTAGCCAGGTGACAGGGCAAGACTCTGTCTCAAAAAAATAAATTTATATATCATAGAAAGAATGTAGCTACATACATTTTGGAAAATGTAAAAAAACATGTGCCTTTAATCCCAACACTGAAGCATAACAATGGGTAGCATTTGTGTGTATTTTCTTTTGATCTGTTTTTCTTCCTAGGCATTAATTTTATTGCATGACTTTGGGCATTTGGCGATGATATGCATCGAATTTATTTTGTCCCCTGCTTATTCACTTGCTTTTTTTTTTTTTTTTAAGATCAAGTCTTGCTCTGTTGCCCAGACTGGAGAGTGCAGTGGCACATTATAGCTCACTGTAGTCTTGAACTCCTGGGCTCAAGTGATCCTCCTGCCTCAGCCTCCTGAGTAGCTGGAACTACAGGGATACGCTACCACACTCAGCTAATTAAAAAAAAATTTTTTTTTGTAGAGCTGAAGTCTCACTATGTTGCCCCAGCATGTCTCAAACTCCTGGCCTCCAATAATCTTCCTGGGCTCGGCGCCTATAGCTCAACCGCCTAAGGCGCCAGCCACGTACACCTAAGGTGGCGGGTTCGAATCCCCAGCCCGGACCCGCCAAACAACAATGACGGCTGCAACCAAAAAATAGCCAGGCGTTGTGGCGGGCGCCTGTGGTCCCAGCTGCTTGGGAGGCAGAGGCAGGAGACTCGCTTGAGCCCAGGAGTTGGAGGTTGCTGTGAGCTGTAATGCCACGGCACTCTACCCAGGGGGACAGCTTGAGGCTCTGTCTCAAAAAAAAAAAAAAAAAAAATAATCTTCCTGCCCCATCCTCCCAATATGCTGGGATTATAGGAATAAGTCACCATACCTGGCCTTCACTTGCTATGTCAACCCAACTCTTCTGCCTCTAAGGCCTGTGTTTTTCTCCTCCTAAAGTGCCTCCTGGAGAAGCTGAAGCTGATCTCTCAGTTTCTCTGATTCCAGATGAATATAGGGAGTTCCAGGAACCCAGTTTCCATGGACTTCACCTAGCCAAGGCCTGCCTGGCAGCAAGAAGGAGAGGGGCCTGCTGAGAATTAGTTATGAATAATGGTGATTGCATAATTGCACAACATAGTACATGTGACCTACATGGCTTGTATTAGATGCTTGGCCCTTGTAGTGCTGCATCCGGTGGAGGGGAGGGATGGGTGACCAGCCAGCATCACCCAAGCTCCTTTCCTGGGCAGCTGAATTCTAGATGGGCTTTCTCATCCTTGACCCAATAGGCCCGAGGTTTTTCTCCTCCATCTTCTCAGGGATCAGTCCTGAAGCCAGCCTATAAGAAAGTCTCAACACCAATTTCTCTTATTTCAGGAGAGACTCCGTGGACTCCAAGTCTTCTACCTCCTCCTCTCCAAAAAGACCATCAATGGAAAGGTAAAAGAAGCCACAGCCTTCTCTATCCCAAATATCTTATTCAGGATGTATCCCTCTCTCAGCTCTCTCTCTCTATAAAATCATAGCTATGTACATTAATGCAATCATGGGGTACAATGTGCTGGTTTTATATACAATTTGAAATGCTTTCATCAAACTGGTCCACATAGACTTCACCACATTTTCTTAGTTACTGTGTTAAGATATTTATATTCTATACCTCCTCTCTCAGCTTTAATGGAGGAAGCTACCGGCAGGAGAAAGGAAGAAACCTCCCTACATTATGTTGCCTCTAAATTCTAGGACCTACGCAGTAAGAGTGAGTGGGCCCCCAGGGCGGTGCCTGTGGCTGAAGGCGTAGGGCCCCAGCCCCATATACTGGGGGTGGCAAGTTCAAACCCGGCCCCGGCCAAAAACTGCAAAAAAAAAAAAAAAAAAAGTGAGTGGACCCCTGAACCAGAGATGTGGCTTCTTCCCTGGGGTGAGCTGGGGGAGAGCAGTTGGTGTTGCCCCATCACCATCTGGGGAACATTCTCAAGGTCAGGCTGAACCCAGTGAGGACAGACAGAGGTCTTCAAAGCCTAGACCTGGAGTGGGCTCTCTGGATTTGGGTTGAACTGGTTAGGGTGTCTACACAAAAGTAGCATACATCATCAAGTCATATATTCATCACATATTTAGTGAGGGCCTACTATGTGCTAGGAAATGTTCTGGGTGACATAGATATAAAAATGCACGACAGAAACAAAAATGTAGGTGGGGTGCAGTGGCTTATGCCAGTAACCCCAGCACTGTGAGAGCCTGATGTGGGTGGATTGTCTAGCTCAGGAGTTGGAGACCAGCCTGAGCAAGAGTGAGACCTTGTGTCTAAAAATAGCCCAGCCCTGTGGTGGGTACCTTAGTCCCAGTTTACATGGGAGGCTGAGACAAGAGGATTGCTTGAGCCCAAGAGTTTGAGGCTGCTATGAGCTATGATGTCATAGCCCTCTACTGAGGGTGACAAAGTGAGACTCTGCTCACCCCCCCAAAAAAGAAAAAATCTCTGCAGTCATGGGGCCTCTGTTCTAGTAGGGTAGACAGGTAATACATATAATAAGTACATTATATGGTGGTTTGGAAGGTGACAAGTGTTATGGAAACAACAGAGGAAAGTGAGGAGGTGCTCAGGGGGTGGTCAGGAAAGGCCTCATTAAGGAAGTGACCCAGGGCAAAAGCTTGAAATTTGAAAAAGGTAAGGAAAGGAGTTAGCTAAGCAGATATTTGGGTTATGGCAGAAACAGGGGGTGGCTGGGTGGCTGGAGCAGATTGAGGGGGAGTGTTGGGGGTGTGAATGAAACAGGAGCCACAGGAGGGTCTTCAGTGCCAGAATGATGTGACCAAATTTGTCAGGCTGCTGTGCCCAGAATGGATTATAGGTAGGGTGACCAGATTTTAACATCGGTAAGGCGGGACAACATGGCTGGAGGGCAGGGTGGGGGCGGGGTGGAGGTGGGGTGGGGCGGGGCAGGGCCTGACAACAATGCAAACTTTGATAAGCAGTTCTCGATAATCACTTCTCAACAATTATTTGTTATTATTACAGTTTAACATTATAAAATTCACAAAAATAATATAAAACTCATATTCTGGCGAAATAGCCACATGGCAGCCGAAAACCGTATATTCCCTTCTTGTTCTGCCCATTCGTGCATTCTTTCCAAAAATCGGGACTTTTTAAAAACGCTGCAGGATGTGGGACAAATTGTTGGAAAGTGGGACTATCCCGCCAAAAGCGGGACGTCTGGTCACCCTAATTATAGGACCAGAGGGAGGGGTGACGAGATCAGCCAGGAGGCTGCTGTGATGATTCAGGCAAGAGACTATGGCTTGGATGAGCAAGGTAGCCAAGGTGGTGGGGAGAAGGGGTAGCTTCAGGATACATTCTGAAGGAAGAGCTGACCGGACTTCCTGACAGATTGGATGTGGGTAAGAGAGAAAAATAGGAGTCACAGATGCTTCCAAGATTTTTCACTTGAGTATCTGCAAGGATGGACTTGATGCTAATCGGTGAGGGGAAGACTGTGCTTACGTAAGTCAGGCTTGGGGCGGAACACAGAGAGTTCAGGTTTGGATATGCTGGATTCGAGGCCTGTGTTAGTCATTCCGAGGAGAAGTAAAATAAGCAGTTGGATTATATGTGGCTGGAATTCAGGAAGAAAGTCTGAGCTAGAAATATAAATTGCAGCGTCATCGGTGTGTAGCTGGCATCTAACGAAACTGGATGAGATCACCAAGAAGAGAGGGTGGATAAAGGAGTGAGTGTGAAGTATGGTCCAGGAAGGAGGCTGGAGGTCCAGGGGAGAGTGAATGATCAGGGTGCAGACGCCATATTGGATTCTGGGGCACCCAGGTGGGATGGGAAAAGTGTTGGCTTCTGGAAGAGCATGTGTGGGAACTGCACATTTATTTTAAGCCTAACATACCAATAAGACTACCACTGAAAAGAAAATTAGAGATGCGAAAATTAGGTTGTCGATACCTTGGCAGCCAAGGGCCCACTCCCGCTGATGAATAGAGGCTCTCTAGAGTGCTGGTGGGAGGGGGAATTTGAGTGTAAGAGTTCTGCAGTCAAATAGCAATGTCCAATGGGGCTGAGGCCCAGGAATGGGGCAGCAGTGTTATCCTGGTTCTAGACCAGTGATTCTCAACAGGGGTCATTTAGAAATTTTTTTTTTTTTTTGGAGACAGAGCCTCAAGCTGTCCCCCTGGGTA